AACTATTGAGTTGTTTGTGTTCCTTGTATATTCTGGAAATTAGCCCCTCGTGGGATACATAGTTTGCAAATATTTTCTCTCATTCTGTAGATTGTCTCTTTGCTCTGTTGATTGTCTGCTGTGCTGTGCAGAATCTTCTTAGTTTGATAAAATCCCATTTATCTTTACTTTTGTTGCCCGTGCTTTTGAGGTTGTATTCATAAAATCTTTACCTAGTTCTATGTCTATTGACATGTGTTCTTGACATGGTTTTCATTCTCAAGGAGTAATAAGATTCCAGAATTTAAAAAAGTTATTTGCGTATGTTTTTAAGAACACTATTCGCATTCTCTCTTATTTTTTAAGTGTTTCTCAAATAGGTAATGCACACATGGATTTTCCTTTTCTTATCGACGTAAGAGTTTTTGTCTTTGAAATAGTATAGTGATTTTGTATGCATTGTAATTTTTGTATTACTAGATGTTTTTCTTCTTATTTCATATATAACAAAATACATTTTTTTCTTTTTTCATAACATACACCAGTCCTTCTACTTCTACATTAAAATTTATATCTTTCTGCTTTTACATCTTTTTAATGTAAGTTGCATATTTATATTTACTCTTATAATTTCTTTTTTTTTTTAAGATGACCAGTAAGGTGATCTTAACCCTTAGCTTGGTGTTGTCAGCATCACGCTCAGCCAGTGAGCGAACTGGCCATCCATCCCTATATAGGATCCGAACCCGCGGCCTTGGTGTTATCAGCACCGCACTCTCCCGAGTGAGCCACAGGCCAGCCCTTTACTCTTATAATTTCTACTTCTGTATTTTGTAATATAGTGTACATACAGAAAGATGCACAAAATTCACATGCATAGTTTAGAACTTTTTGTAAATTTCATATTTATTTAACTACTGGCCAGGTCGATAAATGGAATATTTGTAGCATCCCCGAATCCTCCTGTTCATTCCTTTTAATAAAATTATCCCAATCCCAAAAGGTAAGCATTTTTCTTGTATTTAAAGTAGCATTCCCTTGGTTAGAGCATGGTGCTGATAACATCAAGGGCTCAGATTCCAGTACCAGCCAGAGCGCCCCCCACCACAAAATTTAATAAATAAAGTAGGTTTCCCTTGCTTTTCTTGATCTGTTCAAAATACTGATCCATGTAGTTTAGCTTTTCCTCTTTTGAAATTTTATATGGATGAAATAATATGACAAATTATGTGCATTGTTACATTTGTAAAATATAATAATTGTGATTTTACCCATATTTTTGCACACATATCAAATTTATCATTTTACTTCTTTATATTGTACAAAGTATGATTTTTAAAATAAAATGTACTTATATATTCTTCTGTCAAAGACTTCTTGTGTCTTTCTAAGTATGTCATATATATGCCTCATTGCTGAGAATAGATATGAACTTTTGTATAACAAATATACCTCATAACATCCTGGATGGTTCTATATGCTTATCTGGTTAAACCCAGTTAATAAACGGAAGACACACCTGTAGAAAATAAAGTGTTTTCATTCACTTTGTTCTGAACACTATCAGTCAGAGCTAACTGAGTAGAGAAAATGCAAATAATTCCAGTGCCCAACCTCTATATTTTCTGTCTTTTTCAATTTTGGAATGTTTCTCTTATACTCTCATTAAGTGGGCACTATGAATAAATAAATAGGCTCAACATCAAAAGAGATAAGTGTTAGTGGATATAATTGGTGTAATTATAAAAATGCTACAAAGGTTCAAATCATTTTATGTAAATTTTGGCAAATTTAATGTGTAGCTTTATATTTTGATTCCACTTATTCTAGAAACCCAACTTAATTCCAATTTGCCAAAGTGTAAAAAAAAAAAAAAGAAAAGGAACAATTCCATATTGATAATTAAGTTTTGAAACTCAGAATCCCTCTTATTTTCTTCAAATGTGTTGTATGTTTTGGCTGTAATGAAATACCAGTTTTCTGAATTACAATCCTTCCATAAACAACTATAAAACTTGACAAAATACACAAAGCAACTACTTTCAGATCTTGGATGACAGACAATATAGGTCTGTCACCTTTGAGAGAAGGACATCACAGGAAGTGAGGTCACATTTTCCCATCGACCTGCCAGGGCACTTTCCAAACCTGCACAGGGAAATGGAGTACCAGAGCAGAGGGTAGAGACAACAGAGCTTACAGGAAATCCTGTGGATTCATCTTCTTAGTGGGCCCTCGCCACTAAGGCCAGCTCTCCTGGTTCTCTCACTGCAGAGGCTGAGATACTCACCCTCACATCACAGGTCAGGTGCAGACAGGTGTTACCAGCCACCGAGTCCCACATTCCTCCTCCAGAAGCTTGTCTTCATTTCTCACTACAGAGGCTGAAGCCCCACCTGTGGCACTCCTCCAGTGCTGGTCCTACCTGGCAGGACAATCTCAGAGACAGGCCAGCAGAGCAGGACACAGCTGGGATGATGAGGCCCTCATAGCAAGTCCTAGACTTCAAGGCAGGCGCCATGACTGAACCCAACCTTTGGGACAGAGTTGCCAGCCTCCAGGTCTACATGCGGACACTATCTGGTCCTGGTTCTTGGCCCAGGGGATCCCCAAGTGTGGCAGAATAGGTACAGGATGTCCCCAGGTGCCTCCATGGAGTTTTCAGTGGCCTTGGAGATGTAACCTTTGGGGACCTGGTAAAATTATTATGCTCGACCTGGCTCCTCACCTTCAGCTGGCCAGCATGGAGCAGGCGGGCAATGAATTACAAAGCAGTCTTTGAAGAGGCAGCTTTAAGTCTAAGTGTGAAAATAAGGAGGTACAAGTGTAAAATGAGGAAGTAGCTTTATGTCATCCAACATACATTAAGAAAAGCAAAGTGCAGCTCTGTATAAAAAGTATGACTATCTTTACTAAGAAAATCAACTTGTATAAGATATTTGAACATATTGTTAAAAGAAAAACTTTAGACAAATTAAATTTAGCAGAGTTTATTTGAGCAAAGAATGATTCATGCATTGGGCAGCACCTTGAACCAGAGGAGATTCAAAGCGCTCTCCCCAGCAGTGTGAGCAGTGAGCTTTTATAGGCCAGACACAGAGGGAAAGCCGAGAAGTCACCTGACTGGTTACTGCTAGGTGGCTGCCTTATTTGGGCATGCTTTGATGAGGTATTTGCCTTATTTGGGCATGATATGAGTTGACTGCTTGTGATTGGCTGAAAACTGGCTGCTTATTATACTCTTAAGTAAGGTTTAGGTTTGTTTAGCTATTAGTTAGGTTGCTGTTTGTTATAGGAACCCAAACTAGAGAGAGACAGCCTCAGGCTAATGGCCTCTTGTTTATTTAACGATGTAGACACACACAGAGAAATACATCCATGTGCAGACTCAATTCTAAAAGGATGCTGTTCTGCAAACATTATTTTTATCCAGAAGGTAGAATTATCTTAGACTTTTGACATTCTATTTTATAATTGTTTACAGTGTAGTACTCTTTTAATAAACAATAGAAAATGACATTTTATAATTTTTTTTATTAGGATAAAAAATATGTACTGATCCACTTTTTTTTTCTGGTAGATTTATACGAAATTCCTGTTAATCGTAAGAAATTCAGGCATCAGTTCTGCAGGAATCATGCCAGGATGGAAATTTCTTAACTGTTTATTAAAAGTACCTGGAAGCTTGTTCTTGGGCTTGATCCACAGAGTACCTGATTTATTAGATCCTGGTTCAGGACTGAGAATATGCATTTCCAATAAGTCCTCAGGTGACATTGATAGTGAGTGTCCAGGGATCAAACTGGGAGAAACAAGGTTGTAGAAAAATGTGAGGGTGCCTGGTTCCAGGTCCCAGCCCATCATGGTGGAGATTTTTAGGCTCCAAGGGACAAAGCAAAGGTTTCTCACCCACATGCCCTTAGTGTCTTGGCAGTAAGCAAAGCAGATGCAGGCCCTCTGGGCTGAAGTCTCAGGTCCACCAATGCTGAGGAGCCCTGTGAAATCTCCCCCCACCCAGGCCACCTAGTCACCTGTTTCTTCTGCCTGAAATTTATTCCAAAAATACCCACATGGCTCATCCCTCACCTCCTTCAAGAATATGCTCACTGGCCTTCTTATTAAGAAGCCTCACCTCCCTCCTTTGACCCATACTAAAACAACATCCCTTTTATTGTTCGTTTTTTTAGATTAATGTTAGATTCCTAAGGGAATTGAATATATCTCAGATATCGAGTAAGAGTTATTCAATGGATAAAAGTGTTGCTCAACTAATTGGACACATCTTTCCTGCTGGCAGGAGAGATGTTTTCTATGGGAACCACAGAGATCTATCCTTATATTACTGCTTCAGAGTGGCCCACCATAGCTACTTCTATTTTCTAGAAGCACTATCTGGTGTATTTTTTTTTTTTTTCTCTTATTTTTGACAGAAACTATGCAGACTGACAAACTGACTTCAGTGCTTCAGACTGTGCATTTGAATTGCAATACAATAATATTTATTGGCTTCCCTACCAGTGAACGCATTTTGTGTATGAATGACTCTATGGAATGACATGCGTATTTCGATTGGTAGCCTTTGGGAGCATCTAAAATACTACTTTTCGCCTCTGGAAGCACGCTGAGCTTTATGGAGTTTGAAATAATATGTCTCCAAACACTTGGGTGAGCACTGCAGACAGCACTTCTCAGATATCTGTCTAGTTACGACTTCTTCAAGAACGGGGGTAGCCCCTCCTCTGCCCTTGGACGTGGACAAGCCATTTCTCAGCGCCCATAGCACTGGGGGCTTTAACTTTCACTCCAGGAGCTGGTGGAGAGCGTCCTTACCCACGACCTCTGGCTCTAATGGAAACTACATTACCCAGAATGCTCCACGCTGAACGGCAGCTGGGCAGAGCCAATGAGGGCTCAGAAATTAGAACGTTTCCGTGTGTGTCACAGATCGGAAAGGAGGGACTTCCGCTGTCCTCTTTGTGGCAGCCATTTTGGCTTTTCTTGGGTGTGCTCACCAGATCAAAGGCTCCGGAGAGCCGGGTCGTGGGTGAGGTGACTGGATCGAGAAGGCGTGACAGGACTCTTTGTCCCCACTGCACAGAGGCGGGTCTGAGGCTCGGTGACGCCTCCCTGAGTGCCTCGCGCCAGGCCTGCGATAGGGAGCGCCGTGCCCCGGTCGTCCGCGGCTCCTGCCCCTGCTCCGCTCAGAGTCCGATGGCTGCGGCTGCGCTGAGGGACCCGGCTCAGGTAAATGCTATGTCCTCTGGGCCTTCACCCGCACCCCGACCTAAGTTTTAAAGCCCAATGAGGGGCGCCTGTTCACGTCCCTGCAGCACAAGCCTCTGTGTCTAGGACCGTGAGGTGCTCGTTGGTGGGGTCCTTATTTTTGACATTTAGCGTGATGGAGTGTGGGAGAGTGTGACAGGCAGAGGGTCGGGCAAGTGCAAAGGCTTAGAGGTGGGACTTAGCTGGGAGGATTAGAGAAGCCTGGGGTCCACCTTCTGGAGGGAACGGAGCATATGAGGCTGACTTATTCTTTGAACAGCAGGCTGAGGGGTGTACCTTCGTTGTGAGAACTCCAGAAACCGTGGAGTTTTGAACAAAGGAGGGGCACCATCTTAGGGTTTTAAAACTTTCCCAAAGACCGTTCTAAGGAAGAATAGAGTGGAAGGGGCGATGAGAACTTTGAGGCACTGGGAGGTTGCATCTTTTTCCAGAGTCTCACAACTGGTAAGAGGTGACATTGAGCACTGAGGTATGGAGGTAAGACAGCCAGCCTGAGGTCACCTGGTTTCAGGGCCAGGCAGGAGTACAAGGAGGCATGAACCCATACATCTGCATCACGGACTCATTCCATTAAGGTCTGCCTCTTTCCACGGTCCCTGTGACTGTAGAAGGGCTTATGGAATGCACATAGGGAGAAGGAGGTTGTTCCAGTTGTCAGTCGTCCCAGCCTCCACCAACATGTTCTCTGGATTGTACTTTTCTGGGACTCTTGCTTGCCATTCTTCCAGTCCTTGAGTCTAGAGCCCTGGAGAAACTCCAAGCGCAGGGTCTTAAGTCCATGTCAGGGGTTATGTGGAGGTGTTCCCATTTCTGGCAGCCAGTGTAAACAGATGTGGAAAGTTATCCCCAGGACTGGCACCAGGATTTGCAAATGCTTAGAGGTAAAACTGAGCTGGGAATGTTCAGAAAGCCAAAGGTCTCCTTTCCTTTAGGTGGAGACAAAGCAGGGGGAGGGAGTCAGGACTGTAGTGGCTGCCTGAGAAGTTGGGTGTTTGTTCTGGAGGTAATGGGAGGTTTGGGTCAGAAGAGAGAGATTATGTTACCAAAGTCTCAACAGCCTTCATTTGGCTGCAGAGTGGAGAGTAGGCTTGGGTTGAGGAAGGAGGAAGGAAGATCAGAGTGAGGGTTAATGGACCAGAGTCGTGGCTTAGGAGATGTGGTTGGACTCTGGATGCGAATTTTAAAAACGGGTAACTAAGTTTTCTAATATGGACAGTGTGAGGTAGTGAAACAGGATTCAGGGATGACCCCATGGATTTTGTTTTAGCAGCTGTAGGAATACAAATTTCATCATCTGAAATGGAAAAGTTGGTATTAAGAGTAATATTCGCTGGGGACATCAGGAGCTTTGGTTTCGTCATGCTAAGTAAGAGTTTGAGATATCTCAGAGACCACTGAGTGAAGTATTTAAGCAGGCACTGAACACGCAAGTCTGGATGTCTGAGGAGTGGTTCAGGATAGATATTTAAAATGTGGTGGTGATTGTGTGGACCAAGGTGAGTGCACTATGGGTCATATTTAGGAGAGTCAATCTTCGGGTTATGGTGGTAAAGCTGTTAGGGGAGCAGGAGAACTGGACCTCTTGGTTGGATACCTGGATTATGGTAGTGGGCTTTACAAACACAGGTAATGGAGGTAAGTGGCCACGAAGGTAGGATGTATCAGACAGGATAGTTTGGCCTAGGCAAAGGGAAGAGTGGATGTGAGATGGATGTGGAGGCATAGGTATATTTGAGGCAAGATGCCACCCAAGCCAGACCTGGAGCTTTTTCACCACTTGATAGAATCACCAGGATTTTGTGATGACTTTGATGCGGCCTGAGGTCTTTCATTCAGGCTGGACAATAAGGTCAAAAGTAAATATAGTCATCTGTGAGAGTCACTTGACCTGGGGTGGGCGATCAGTAGGGCTGGTCTGTGAGTGTTAGGTGGACAGAGGAAGGTTGTGACTTCTGAGGGTGATGCACATGTTTTTCTGCGTGGCCAAGTCTGAGGCAAAGAATGGAGGCAGAGAGGCTTCATAAGATTTGAGCCTAGTGGGGAAGTCTAGGGTGGTATTGGATCCTGTCTGAATTTGTTAAGCATATCTCGATGCCAAGTCATTGTGTAAAGCCCAAAATTAAGGTCCACTGTTATGTGCTGTCTTTACATCTGGTAGAATGGGGATGACATCACATGGTCTGAGTGCAAGTTCCTCTTGCCATTCTTCTCTCACTTGATTTCTCTGAACAAACAACCCTTTTTATTAAGGGGACCAGGCACAAATTTCTGCTTATCCCTTTGTAGCAGATTTCACCCCCCTCCTAGCCTATGGAGTTATCCAAACTGCTAATTGCAAGAACCAGAGGGCATCTCACCCTTTTGTTCTTACAGTGCTTACATTTCACAGCCCCTGGTTGTTCACTTTTTCTAGGATTGTACCCCCATCTGGCCCTGTGTGATATGTGTTGTCCTCCTCTCCAGCTATGTATACATATATATTTAATAAGTTGCTATCTATTTCATCTATCCAGTGTCAGATATTGTATGTTTGGCCATCCCTATAACCCTTGGGTGGGAATCCCACCTTCACCAGTGGGGATGATGAGAAGATGATTAAGACAAAGTCATATGTGGGAGGCCAGGGAGATGCCTATAATATGAGGCAGTGACGTGGTGGTAGCCATGGGCATGGGGCTGTGGTGTCTGGAGATATGAGGGGTATGCAGTCTAAAGAATAATGTCCACTAGGAGAAGAAGAATGCCTCATGGCTCCAGGGCCCAGATATTGAGACTTCCGTGACCTTGGGCATTCCAGGGGGATTGCCTGATAGAAAGGGCTGGATCCTTCTATGCCTGGCCCCCTGTTTACATACCTATTTGTCCACTTGCCTATTGTTATTGATGGCTGTACTTTGTAATGGCACTGGGGTGGGTCCTATTTCTCCCCTGAGCTAGGGAGCTTGAGAGGAGGATGGGCATAGGGTAAATATTTAGGGGAAGGGTTTGTGGGTCCTAGGGAAAGGGGTTGTTTATGGTTTCATCTGTTATCACAATAGCAGGGCATCGTGACCTTTGAAGATGTGGCTGTGCATTTCTCCTGGGAGGAATGGGGTCTCCTTGATAAGGCTCAAAGATGTCTGTACCGTGATGTGATGCTGGAGAACTTGGCACTGATAAACTCCCTGGGTAAGATCCTTACAGCCACCCTGTACCCTGAGATAGTCTCTGCCTATGCCCTTTTCCCCAAGAGCAGGTCTGTCCTCACATTTCAGTTCCCTGGGTAGGTGGTGTAGTTGATAGAGCTGACGTGTATGCATCCCTCTTCTCAGGTAGGCAACACCTGCTTCCCTATAGTTTCACAGGGGAGGATTCACTGTTAGGAGTTTTGTAGTTGCCCTGATGGATTTCACCTTGCTAATCCTCTGGCTGGCTGGGTGACTTTGTCCAGATCCAAGGTTCCTTTGTGACCCATGTTTTACTTCCTTCCTTAGCTTGCCTGTGTCAGGGATTACTGTCACTGACATGGTTACACTTATGTGGATCATGGACTCTTCTTATAAGACCTTCCTCTGAAGTTTTTTTTTGGTAATATTTGTGTTCTAATTTTTTTTCTATGGGTTTTTTGTGGGCCAGTGCTGGCTGCTCTTCTGTCCTTTTATTCCTTTAGTACTTGCAATATCTAGGTGCCTTGTATTTGTTCCTCTTGCTAGTGGGGTGGAGACCCCTCTGTGGTTCACAGGATGGCTGTGAATCCAGCCACAGCAAGATGGGCTCATAGGGCATCTGGCCCTGAGGAGTGATACCTAGATAAGGGGATGATGTGAAGCTGTGTTCAAATTGTGGTAGAAACCTATTCTGTTTGACTAGTATTTTGTTGCTGGTGGCCACAGCTCTTTTTTGCTTTTCCTTTATCATTCTTGATACTTTGCCAATTTGTCAACTCTACATACCATTTGTCACTTCTACTTTTATATCCAGCCTGGGTCTAATCCCCATATCCCTGGACTTCATGTCTCACCTGTTTTTCTCACTGCTCTATCTGCTGTGCTCTGCAGTGATGGCCTCTACATATTGTGTCATGAGGTGTGCACATATTTTTAAATAGTCCTTGAAGGCTAACTGCTGTATTACATTTGTATTTTCTTGGGCCTGGACATATCATTCCACAGAGCACTCATGTGTCTGTAGCAGACAAGATTCTACTGAAAGTTGTTTGCAGAGGATTGAGTTTTAGACCTTGCCTCTCTTTTCTGGTCATACTGCATGGCTATGTCCTTTACTTCATGAGCACTCCCATTCTGTGATCTTTGTAGCCCAGTTTTTCAAGCAGCATTTTATTCAACCTGAAACCAACTCCCTTGTCCTGTAAACAGTCCCATGGACTCATTCCTGGGTTTGTCAGATACACACTTATGTAGGGGCTGCCCCTCCCACCATTGTCATCATTTCACTGACATTTCTTGCTTTTAGGTTGTTGGCATGGAGTGGATGATGAGGAGACACCTTGTGAGCAGTGCATTTCTTTAGAAGGAGCGTCCCAAGTCAGGACTTCTGAGGCAGAACTATTTCCCCAGAAGGCCACCCCCTGTAGGATGTGTGGTCTGGTCTTGAGGGACATTTTGCACTTGGCTGACAACCAGGGAACACATCATGGACAGAAACTGTATAGGTGTGGGGCATGTGGAAAACAGTTGTATTTCAGTACAGATGTTTATCAGCACCAGAACCAGCACTTTGGAGAGAAACATTTCAGAAGCAATGTGGACAGAGCCTCATTTGTGAAGAGCTGCAAATTTCATGTGTCAGGGAAGCCCTTTACCTGCAGGGAAGTTGGAAAGGACTTTTTGACCACCTCAGGATTTCTCCATCAACAGGCCACTTGCACTGAGGAGCAGTCAAATAGAAATGATTGTGGGACTGTTTGTCGCAGTGGAAAAACTCATTCCAACTGTGGAGAATACAGAAAAGCATTTAGCCACAAACACACACTTGTTCAGCAGCAGGGAGCCCTCACTACAGAAAGATGTTACATATGCAGTGAATGTGGGAAATCCTTTAGCAAAAGCTACAGCCTTAATGACCATTGGAGAGTTCACACTGGTGAAAAGCCTTATGAATGTGGTGAATGTGGGAAATCCTTTAGGCAAAGCTCTAGCCTCATTCAGCACCGGAGAGTTCACACTGGTGTACGCCCTCATGAATGTGATGAATGTGGAAAACTATTTAGCAATAAGTCCAACCTCATTAAACATCGGAGAGTTCATACTGGTGAAAGGCCATATGAGTGCAGTGAATGTGGGAAATCCTTTAGTGAAAGCTCTGCACTGCTTCAACACCAGAGTGTTCACACTGGAGAAAGGCCTTATGAGTGCAACAAATGTGGGAAATTCTTTACCTATCATTCCAGTCTCATAAAACATCAGAAAGCTCATAGTGGATCAAGGCCTTATAAGTGCAGTGAGTGTGGGAAATCATTTAGTCAAAACTCCAGCCTCATTGAACACCGTAGAGTTCACACTGGAGAAAGGCCTTATAAGTGCAGTGAATGTGGGAAATCCTTTAGCCAAAGCTCTGCACTCCTTCAACATCGGAGAGTTCATACTGGAGAAAGGCCTTATGAATGCAGTGAATGTGGGAAATTCTTTACTTACAGCTCTAGTCTCCAGAAACATCAGAGAGTTCACACTGGATCAAGGCCTTATGAGTGCAGTGAATGTGGGAAATCCTTTACTCAAAACTCCAGCCTCATTAAACACAGGAGAGTTCACACTGGGGAAAGGCCTTATGAGTGCACTGAATGTGGGAAATCATTTAGCCATAACTCTAGCCTCATTAAGCACCGACGAATTCATAGTCGATAAGGGCCTTATGAGTGGCAAATGTGTAAAATGCTTTAACCAATGCGCTGGCCTTGTTACACACCTGAGAGTTAACCTTGGAGAAAGTCTTTAATTCAGTGAATGTGAGAAAGCCTTCAGCTGAAGGCCTTTTCTCATTGGATACCATAAAATTTACATGGGAAAAACAAACACCTTTGGTATGTAAAGATGTGCTGTTTCCTTGTTCAGTATAACAACTCTGGAGGAGATCCCTTATGTTGGTGCCATCTGCCTGAATTGCTTCTCATACATTCAAACATCTGCATAAATTCCAGGTATGTAGGAGCTGCATTGCACTTTTTAACCTGCCCGTGGTCCTTGCCAGACTTATGTCACTGCCAGTTCTATAGTGGAAGTCATTTCATCTCTACCACCTGGCAGGTGCCCGCACTGTATACCATTCACCCACCCTAGTGTGTTCAGGTAAATGAGCCTCAGTGTTCTGTTCATGGGAGGACTTTGTAAGTAAGTAGCCTGAGCATTTATTCCTTTCTTGTTTGTTTCTCTCTGATGAGTTAGGGCATGGACCTGATGCATTTTGGCCCAGAAGAGTCTCCTGGTGACTTGAAAAGATGGACTACCTTTTTCAGGGATATTGTTGGACTCACATGACTCTTGTGATAGAATTTTCCAGCTTCCAAATCACCAACTGTGGGAACTGCCTGCCTCCCAGTGCTCTGGTTTGTATGATAATAAAGTCCGTATTGTTTATCACCATTAATCTTGGGGGTTCTATTTACTGTATAGGGTGCTTTGAAAACATTTAGATTCTAACATTAAGGAGTAAACAACTTTTATGGGGATCCCAAACTTCGTGTGCCTCAGAGGGACAGTATGGTAGCAGAATATAGCTCTTTTTCTACCTTTGGCCTAGTTTGCATTGCTGTCCAATGTCTCCAAGGATAAACTGCAGGGTGTTGTCCTAATTTCTATCCTGGATTCCATGACATTGTGAGTTCAGAAGGCAAACTGAGAAAAGGGACAATTGGGACAGTCTGGTGCTTCTGAGAGCAACATGAAATTATTCTCCTGTTCACAAGGGATTATTCTCATCAGTATTGGGGGAAATGTGTTCTCCAGGTCCTGTAAAGGATCTTTATGCCTTGATATCCCAAAATCTGTAGGGTAGCATCACACACAAGTTGTAAGATTTTAGCAGAAATTATAATCGTTATAGAAATATTGCATGAATAGAGAGTGGAAAAGACTGCAGTTAAACTGACTGGAATGTGCCTTTTTTACAGGGCCATCCATGATGTTCCAGTCACCATGGCTAAGAAGTATGAGCAGGTACAGAAATTCTCAGGACCTCCAGAACTGTGTATCTTGTGTATCTGAGGTCATTGTCAGAGAAGATAATCTAAAGGTTTTATGGATTTTTGTAGCCACTGGGCTGTTCTCATCAAGGCCTTTGGAGTGCAGGCAGGAAAACCAGTATAGAGAGAAGGGAGTTCTCAGTTTATCAGTATGGCCTTTGTCACCTAGCCAACATTCCTGTTGAATCAAGTGGAAACAGCCTTCACTGCTCACCTGTTTGCTATCGCTGATGCAAAGCTGTCCCTCCCAGGGCGTGAGGTGAGAGAAAGTGAAATCAACATAGGGTTGTCAAGTCTGATTTTCCAAAATAGTAGGAGATCCAGACTTGTATTTTGAACCATATTTTAAAATCTTTAATAAAGTATAAATGACATGCAATAAATGGCACATATTTAAACTCTACAATTTGATGTTTTGACATTCATATAAACCCATGAAACCATCCTCACAGTCATGGTAATGAACCTATCCAGCACCCTCATATTTACCTCATGCCCTTTACTACTACTACTGTCTACCCTCCAGACAATTGCTGATTTACTTTCTTTCACAATAGATTAGTTTTTATTTTCTAGCATTTTATATAACTGAAATCATGAAGTGTTTACTCTTTTTTTTCCCTGGGTGCACACATGCAGCATATTTATTTTGAAATTTATCAGTGGTGTTTAAGTATCTTAGTTCGTTTTCTGCTGCTGTAACAATACCTGAGACTGGATAATTCATAAACTATAGAAGTTTGTTTGGCTCATGGTTCTGGAGTCTGGGATGTCCAAGAGCATGGCACTGGCATCTGGTGAGGGTCTTCATGCTGTATCATCCCACAGTGGAAGGGGAAACAAGCGTGAGAGGCAGAGAGAGGAAATTGTGCTGAACTCATCCTTTTTATCAGAAATCCACTCCCACGATAACTAACTCACTCCCATGGTAATGGCATTAATCCATTCATGAGGGCAGAGCCCTCATGATCTCATCACCTCTTAAAACTCCTGTGTGTGGTTTTTTTTTTTTTTTTTTTTTTGCCTTTTTGTCTTTTTTCGTGTCCGGCAACGGATCGCAACCCTCAGTGTCGCGCCTGTACCGGACCGGGACCGGCAATGGAATCGCAACCCCCAGCACCGCGCCCACACCTTGCTCAGCCAGCGAGCTGGAACCGGTCTGTATGTGGGATCCGAACCCTCCAGCGCCGCGCCCACACCTTGCTCAGCCAGCGAGCTGGAACCGGTCTGTATGTGGGATCCGAACCCTCGGGGGGAACGCCACCGCACTCCCAAGTGGCGCACTGCGCCACCGGGCCGGCCAAAAACTCCTGTGTGTTAATACCATCACAATGGCAATTGAATTTCAACATGAATTTTTGGAGGGGACATTCAAACCATAGCAATGAGTACTTCTTTCTTTTTTATATTGCTGAGAATTAGAGTCATGTGCCACATAACAATGTTTTGTATATGACAGTGGTCCCGTAAGATTATAATGGAGCTGAAAATTTTCTGTTGCCTAATGACATAACCAGCTTAACATTGTAGCACAATTACTTTATCTTTTTATAAATTTAGTGTAGCCTAAGTTTACAGTGTGTATAAAGTTTGCAGTGGTGCACAGTAATGTCCTACACCTTCACATTCACTCACCACTCACTGACTCACTCACCCAAGCAACCTCCAGTCCTGCAGGCTCCATTGATGGGAAGTGCCCTATACAGCTATACCATTTTTATCTTTTATACCATGTTTTTCCTGTACCTTTTGTATGTTTAGATGCACAAATACCACTGTTACATTGCCTACAGTATTCAGTGCAGTAACATGATGTACAGGTTTGTAGCTTAGTAGCAACAGGCTCTGCCATATAGCCTAGATGTACAGTAGGCTGTACCATCTAGGTTTGTGTAAGTACACTCTATGAAGGTCACACAACAATGAAATCTCCCAGTGACACATTTCTTAGAACATACCTCTAGGGCCGGCCCCGTGGCACACTTGGGAGGGTGCAGCGCAGGGAGCGCAGCAGCGCAGGGAGCGCAGCGTCGCTCCCGCCGCGAGTTCGGATCCTATATAGGAATGGCTGGTGTGCTCACTGGCTGAGCGCGGTGCGGGCAACACCACACCAAGGGTTGTGATCCCCTTACCGGTCACCAAAAAGACCAAAAAAAAAAAAACATACCTCTATTGTCAAGTGATGCAGAATTGTATGATGTATCAATATTTGTTTATTCTTTTATCCGTTCATGGATGTTTTGGGTTGTTTACAGGTGTAGGTTATTGCATATAAAACTGCTATAGACATTTGAATACAATTCTTCACATAGATATGTTTTATTTCTCTTGTGTTAACACCTTGGAGTGCAATGCCTGAGTCAGGGTAGATGAATGTATAGCTTTTTGATTTAACATGGTGGTTCTCTGGATTTCTCCCAGCAGTGTATGAGACTTCCGGTTCTTCCATATCCTTGCCAATAGTGAATATATTGTTTTTAAATTTTGACTTGTTTAATAAATCTCACTGTGATTTTAGTTGCATTTCCCCAATGTTTCATTAGGTTGAGCATTTTTTCATTTGTTTATTTGTCACCACTGTGTCTTCTTTGGTAAAACGTCTGTTCATATCTTTTGTGTATTTTTAAAAATGAATTTTGGATATTTCCATCTCATTAAAAAAATAAGTTAATAGTGAAACATCAAAGAGTTATGTTGGAACTTTATTCTTCAGTGGTGTGACTTCTTTGCTGTAAAGAATAATTGAATACTGGAAATTTAGTTCCTAAATTTTTTTGTGTGCTAAACACAGTACAATAGCCACATATGAGAGGTTTTCAAAAAGTTCATGGGAAGATTTGTATTGTCTTTTAATTCTGTTTTTCCATGAATCTTTTGAAATGCCCTCACATACCACATATCACTTTTTAACATCAGCAACATGTTGGCAGTTTGAAATTGGCCATGGTGGTAGCATTTACACCAGGGAGTGGCAAAAAATACAAACCTTGGCTTGATTTATTAAACTTTGATTATCTAGAATTAAAAACTGATGGAGAATTGGGAAGAGCTGCCAGTAGTGTGCCAATATATTCTATTTCCACCATACTGATAAGTTGCCACAAATAGCCTCAAGAACATAGAAGATAATAAAATGTAGTGAAATGATTAGGAAGTAATAAGTTTTTATATTTGTTTTAAAAAATATTTTGAGGAGTAATTGACTTAAATTGCATATATTTAAAATGTATATTTGATGTTTTGATACATGCTTATACACTTAAATCAAAAGTTACCTATCTTTTTAGTTTATATGTTTACTTTTCATCATATAAAATTACTGATACAGTGACATTCTGTCTTTTGTTATGGCTATTTTCAAATACATACAAAAATGAAAAAGACTTTTATGAAGCTGGATGAACCCTTCCCCAATCTTCTATCACTATCATTTTGTGGTTACCCTTGTTTCATCTGTCCTTGTGTACTAAGTGTGTTAACTTGTTTTACTTATAACTTGAGATAATATATCATTTAATGAATAACCTCTTCAGAATCCATTATTAAAATGTAAGGGCCCTTTCACAACCCCAATAACTGTTAGGTTTGGTGAGACAGAAAAGAGGGAGACCCAAGCCCAGCACTGTTTCAGCCAAGAAGCTTTATTCCAGCAGCGTGAAGGGGAGACTGAGTCAGATCAGCTCCCAACCCTATGCAGACTAGTAGAGGTTTTATAAGGTTTGAATTAGAGGAGGGGCATTGGGTTTAGGGGAAGGGCATTGGATGGTGTTTTTGCATAAGAATCTGTTTTGCACAAATTCTGGATTTTCTCAGAAAGCACCTGCTTAAGAGGGAGGGGGTAGGGTGAGGAAGCAGATAACATGGCTGTGCTTATGCTAAGCTGATTGTGAGGCCTAATTACTTTATCATTGCCAGCTCAATATGAGGCCTCCAGTCCTCGCCTGCCCCCAAAAGACGAGCAACTTGGCCTGCTCCCTAGTCGAAATTGAACATTTCTTCCGCCTCCTCAGGAGCAATCAAAAAGTCTTTTAAATCCACTGAGCAGACCTTACTACCTGTTTCTGGACGTTTGGTGAAATGTTGTTCAGGGCACAATTGCTGCCACAAAGCAAACAGGACTGCATTTGGCTGCCAGTCAATTTTCTTTCTACCAACCCCTGCTGCAAGCAAGTCAAGCCACATCTGCTTAAGGCTAGTCTTGCTTGGTCCTTTTGGGATAAAATCCTGAGCATTTCTTGGGGGTTTGGTCTTAGCCATCTTCCGGGCCCCTTTTGCTTGTCTCCTGTCCTCTACTTCACCCAGGCTGGCTATCATGGTCGTTACCTCATGTATAGGCTGAGCATTTCTTGGGGGTTTGGTCTTAGCCATCTTCCGGGCCCCTTTTTCTTGTCTCCTGTCCTCTACTTCACCCAGGCTGGCTATCATGGTCGTTACCTCATGTATAGGATGACCAATGTATGGGGCCAGTATGGCCATCAGTGACCCAGAGGACGTTGACGGGGCATTTTGCAGCACTATGTCTCTCATGCTGCCTGTAAAATTTTCATCATCCAGGCCATGAGTGTTCACATTAAACATGGACTGCCACATCCCCAGCTCTCAAATTATTTGAACTAACTCAGCATACGTTTGCCATTTACTAACAATCTTGGGCAGTTCTCCAGCATTTGCCTACATGGTTCGGGCACCTGCATTCACCCATTCCATTAAGGAATGATTACCTGGCCCTTGTGCATATCGGCAGCTATTCTGCAGCCGCTTCCTTGGACGGGTGCAGGATGATGGAGGCCAATTTTTCCATCTCCTCACCAGAGCACAACACACTATCCAACCCTAGGTTCTATAACCACAACAGCCAAGCAGCTAGGGGCTCCCCTTGTTTCTGCTGAAACTGTCTCCCCAAGTCACCTAAGTCAACCTGGGTATATGGGACATAGGTGGTAAATTGGGTCACCTGTGGATTGCCCACTGGCTGCCCTCCCAGTCCCATAGGCCGCTCGTGCTTCATTTTCTGATGCACAACAGTTTGTACCTGGGGACGCACGGTCTCCCCCAACTCACCACTGCGTTTGTCATCCTCCCTGGTGTGAGAAGCAGGAGTGGCCAGTCGCTGCACGTCATCCTCCAGGACATTCATCTGTGCTTCCAACAACTCTGCTTTCCTCTTCGAATCTTCCAGTAGCTGCACATCATCCACCAGCAATTCTGGTTTCCACTTCAAATCTTGATCAACTTGCAGCAGAGTGAGCAGCAACCAGGCTTCGGTAAGCAGAAAAGTGGCCACTGGGCACCACATGCTCAAGGACAGCCACATTTCCTCCTCCTCCCAAGGGGCTTTCTGCTCTAGTGCCTGGTCTATGCTTACTTGCAATACAGTGAGCAGCAAACAGATCCCGGTCAACA